TAAGGAAATAACTGCACAGCTTTCGTTAGGTTCTGAGGCAAATGATGCTAAATCTACAGACAAAAACATATCTAAAGAAATCTGTCATGTGAAATAACAAAAAAAAGGTTCTAACTCAATTTGTCATGTCCATTGCTCATAGCAAAATTATGAATATGAGAAAATATGATTCTAGAGCCTTTAAGGTACATTTTAAGTTTACCTTCAACTGCTTCACTACTATCTTATACCCAGCACTGTCTACAGTTTATTACCCGTAACAAAGAATTCAACTGTATTTTCCACAGTTTCAGTGTTTAACAGTGAAGACTAAAGATAAGAACTGATCAGTTTTCACTTTCCGTGTTCACAAATTGAAGACAAGACTTGATTTACTTAATTCTTTGGCACACCCAAAGCAGACATTTAATTCATTTCTTCAAAATAATAGTACAAAAGTTTAATTCTTTATCTTTCACTGTACTGCAGAACGATAAACAAACCTTTATTCAGTAGTTACAGGGAGGCGATATCATCGATCTGACAGTGTTTAGTGGCTTTTTGTGAGGCTGCATAGGCTTAAAAGCTCATGGAGTGGTAAAACAGTGCATTTCATTTAAAAATGGGTGACATGACATGCAGCCTTGTAACACTGAACTTAAAAGAGCAGCATAAGCTTTATTCTTTTATTAAACCAACTGTCCAGTGTTTACATTACCTACTACGCTGCAACCAAGTCTGTGCAACTCGCATACGGTAGTTTGTGATTTTAAATGTTGCCTCCAGAGCTGTTCAAAGGTGATTGTCACCTTCCACAATAGGCTCAATCGAATTTAGTCAACACTCTAAGCTCAAACAATTACAGTTCATTATCAGGTTTAATTGGCTCCAAAGGCAGAGTTAGTTCATTTTTAGAAGCAAAAACCTGAAAGTGAGACCTGAACAGTATGACACTTGATGTGTGCAGAACTTTTGCACAGTTTTTCATTTATGTAAAACATAAAATACAGAGTATTTTCCTATTATTTGTACCCTATTATATTGTTTTATAGAAACAGAAAAACATATAGATTTCTGATAAACCTACTGGTGGAGACCTTTGCTACACGTCATACTCCTCTCTCACCCTTGTTTGCTATGTACTGTACAATAAACACTCAAAAATACAAAAAACTTTAAAAAATGTATTTAAAAAATGTGGGATTCTTTGATTCTGGCTTTTGCACAGAAAGAAATCATTTAAAAAGCTTTTTTTTTTGTTTAACAAATAATATAACATGCATGCAGCTGGACTGCTTTCTGATTTATTTTTTTAATGACTTCTTGAGCTCTAGAGGCACAAAAATAAAATTAAATAAAATGAATCTATAACACCTCAATGGAACTTTTTCACAACACTGTATCTTCCCCTCCAAAACAGTATGGGCTTTACAAAAGCAGTAACAGGCTGGTGTCTGGGGTTTCTTTCTTCATAAAAAACTAAACCAGTGTTAACACCGTCGCCTCACAGCAGCAAGGTTCTGGGTTCTAGCCCAGGCCAACCTGGGGCCTTTCTGTGTGGAGTTTGCATATTCTCCCTGTGCCTGTGTGGGTTCTCTACGGGTGCCCAGTGTCAGCTGGGATTGGCTCCAACCCCCCGTGACCCTGCTCAGGATAAGCAGTATAGATAATGTATGGATGGACTAAACCAGTGCGTGTGTGTAAATGTGCGTGTCTGTGTACAGAGTAGGGAGTGCAAAGACGTGTGAGAGCTACTGAGCGTTTGGTTGAAGATAGTAGGGGTGAAACAGTCTCTCATGGGCGCAGATGTGCAGAGCAGCGTGTGTGTGCATGAGCAATCGTGGAAAGCGCGAGGTGAAGTAGGTGACAAAGCCCTCGGGCAGCTCGCCGAGAGTCTCCTGCACCTCTGGTGGCAACTCGTGGTAGTGGTGCTTCTGTAACATGCAGAACAGACTGAATGTGTCACGTGTCGGCGTGCATTAAAAAAAAACAAAAAACAAAGATATGAGTAAAAATGCCAAGTAAGCATGCAGACTGACCTTATTCCTCATGGCTCTCAGCAGGTCTCGGACTGAGTTCCCTTTATATGTCCGGAATCTCCGCAAATCTTAAACGTATATGTGAAAGAAAGTTGTATTACAGATCCTGCACAGGCTGGAACACTACACCACTGTGCAGTGGTGGAAGAAGTACTCAGATCATTTACTTCAGTAAAAGTGGCATTACCACAGTGAAAAAATACTTAATTACAAAATTTTACTTAGGTTACAAAAGTGTTAGGAGCAAAATATATTAGTACCAAAAGTAAAAGTATTCATTATGCAGAAAGGCACATTTCACATTATTGTATTTTACTGGATTAAAATGACTGATGCATCATTGTGCTCATCACTTTAATGCTGCAGCTGGTCAAGGTATACTTAGCATTTGATTTATTGCACATACAGTACCTGGTGGATAGCTTATGAATTTGCCACTGGGGATCAATAAAGTGTTATCATTATACTGTATTTAGTTTTACTTGTCTCATTGTGAAAAGTAACTAACCGTGGTGCAGTAAAAAGCCCAATATTTGCCTCTGAATTGTAGTGGAGTCGAAGTATGAAGTAGCAGAAAATGAAAATACTCAGAATGTACTCAGTCACTTTCCACCACCATGTTGTGTGGGCACCTGTCTGTAGAGGGACAGAAATATGCAGCCTCCAGTTGGTTCGAACCACGGCTCTTCCTGCAGTCTCCAGTCTGACCACAGTGGGACTGTCTGCTGGTTCTTTCTCTATGCGGTCACTCACATCCTACATACAACACACACACACACAGAAAATCTACAAAGACTCGAGGATAAGCAAAAAGGATAGAGTTAAAACCCCACCCACTTATATATCCTCATACTCTCACTAACGTTATCAAACTAGTAGTCACAAAAAAGAGAGTGGTAATATCACAAGAGTCAGCTGTACCAGTGTGTATCTATGACTGAACACACCTGGAAAAAGAGGAGCTGCTTTTCAGGGCTCCAGAAGAACGGATGCTTCAGCACACAGGTGGTGGAGGGACGCGACTCTGCCTCAGCACTGATCATCTTCTCAATCAGATCCTGTGCTATGACATCATCTGATTTCATAGAGGTATAAATATTGTTCAGGTTAGCCAAGTTCTAATTATTCTTTTCTAATGATGCGGCCAAAAATCTTTGGCACGGGTTCATTTTAAAAACAGAACTGTCTGAAAACTGCAACTCAGCTGAGGAGCTGAGGGCACAAATGTCAAAGAGTATTTATGAGGTCTGTTTGCTTATTAAGGTGTGGAACCGTTTGATCTGGCACTGGATTAAATCATATAATGCAAATAAGTATGGCGACTGTACTCATTTTAAAAAACTGAAAATATCCACTAAATATTTAGGAATTGGCTGAACTACCTTTATTTCTTGTGGCTGCAGCAGTGCAGCACAATGTGTTCACATGCACATAATACAATCATTAGGCTTCAGGAATGAATAAACCAGTAAAGGCACGTGTGCAGAGGCCACCCTCACCATGATTATCGTCCCTGAAATGTGAGAGCGAATATTCTCCTGACAGGATGTTGACCTGTCGTCTCAGTGCATCGCCAAAAGGGTGCTGCCCCCTGCTGAGCACGTAGTAAAAGACACAGCCGGCGGAGAACACGTCCACTGCCGCTGTCTGAGGAAAGAATTAAATCACTCAGTAGGGCAAAAAATACAAAAAACACAAACTGTCTGTATCTAGAGTGTGGTAGTTTGGGTTTGGTTGATATGTACATGAACTGTAAAATAATATTTGTTATATGTTTCTCTACAAAAAACAAAGTCCATTTGCGGCTCCCTTTATGCCCAAATCCAGAAACCAGGTCGGAAAACCACTGCTTGTTCTCAGAGTCGACTCTCTCTGTGACTCCGTGGTTTAAAGGCAACATCTTACCGGTTTATTTCCAGGCGTATCCCGCAGTACTTCAGGAGCTATCCACCCTTCAGTTCCTGGTATTCCTGAGCGCAAAGAAAAGCTGCTCCGGCCGTCTGGTATTTTCTTACAGAGCCCAAAGTCAGAGATGAGAGCTCGGACCTGACCCAGTGGACTGGGAGTAGACAGGAGGATGTTTCTAGGCTTCAGGTCACGATGGACTACAGGAAGAGAAGATGGAGGAAGTCATTTAGAAACTTGGTTGCATATGCACTTACAGAAAGTTTTCATACCCTTACAAGTTTTTCACATTTTATGTTTCAGAGTCACCTTAAAATCGATTCAGTTTTTTCTTTTCTCATCAATCTACACACAATACTTCGTAATGATAAAGTGAAAAGAGGTTTTTTTTAAACATAAAAGACTGAACTATCCCATTTATCCAAGTATTCGGACTCTTCATTTAGTACTAGGTTAAATGACTAGGCAAGGACAGCCTCAGGTCTTCTTGAGAACCTCTTTTTTGGAAATTTCTTCCATTCTTCTTGGTTGAATCATTCAAAGTCCAGCAGGCTGGATGGGGAGCGTTGGTGAACAGCCACTTTCAGGTGTCTCCAGAGATGCTCCATTGGGTTCAGGTCCAGACTCTGGCTCGGCCACTCCAGGACATTCACAGTTTTCCTGAAGCCACTCCTGTGTTTTCTTGGTCATTGTCTTGTTGAAATGTAAACCTTCACCCCAGCCTGAGATCCTGAGCACTCTGGAGAAGGTTTTTATTCAGAATTGCTCTATATTTTTCTGGATCCATCCTTCCCTCTATCATAATCTCCTAGTTCCAGTTGCAGAAGAACATCCCCAAAGCATGATGCTGCCACCACTGTGTTTGACTATAGGGATGGTATTAATGAGTGCCTGGTTTTCTCCCCACACACCGTTGGAAGTTGCGGTCAAATAGTTCAGTCTTTGTTTCTTCAGACCAGAGGATTTAGCTTCTCATGGTCTGAGAGTCATTCAGGTGGTTTTTGGCAAATTCCCAGTGGACTGTTGTGTGTTTTTTTTAGTGAGGAATGGTTTCCGTCTTGCCACTCCACCATAGAGATCTGACTGGTGGAGTGCTGGGCTGATGGTTATCCTTCTATAAGGTTCTCCCATCTCCATAAAGGAACTCTGGATCTCACTCATAGTGACCCTTAGGCACTTTCAATGCTGCAGAAATGTCCTTGTATCCTTCCCCAGATCTGTGTCTTGACAAAATCCTGTCTCGCAGGTCTATGGTCAGTTCTCTGAACCTCATGGTTTTGTTTTCACTCTGACAAACACCATCAACTGTGAAACCTTACATAGACAGGTGTGTGCCTTTCCTAATTATATCCAAATTAAATTATGCACAGGTGGACTTTCATCAAGCTGTAGAAACATCTCGGTGACTATTGATAGGAGTGGATGCAACAGAGCTCAACTGCAAGTGTCATAACAAAGGGTCTGAATACTTACAGTATGTAAACTGAATATTTCACTCTTATTTTTAATAAATTAACAAAACACTCCAGAAACCTGTTTTCACTGTCATTTTGAAGTACTGTGTGTAGATGGATGAGAAAAAAATATGAATTGAATCCACTGTAAGATGAGTCTGAAACATAACAAATCGAGGAAAACTTCATATGTCAGATCAATATCAAGTCCATGTGTGTACTGGTATGTATACAGATGGGTGACAAATTAAAAGAAAAACTAACATAAAGTGAACAACGTAAACTATTTAGTAAAGTGTCTCCAGAGCAGCTTCAGTGTTCCTCTGTTGGAGGGAGGAAACATCATTCTTCCAAAACACATTCCCTTTTTCACACTCAGTAACCTAGACCTGCAACCTTTAGTCAGTTCGCCGACAGAAAATTAACTGATTTGAAACAAAAACTACAAATGTTTTCTGGTTCCGTGTTCTTTAATGTGAAGAACTGATGCTTTCTTTGTCAAACATTTGTTGGTTGGACATTTGAAGACATCACTTCTGACCCTGGAAAGTCAAAATGGACATTTCCCCCAATGTTTGACATTCTGTGAAATAAATAATAAATAATTACGGCCAGATTAATCCACCACCCCTGCATTTTTATTTCCACTATTTTTTTTTTCATGATTTCCCATCATTTGTCATCCATCTGTATTTTTATGTGTATCAGACCTATGTTGAGTGAGTGGAGATGTGAGAGGCCACACATGGTCTGCTCCAGCAGAGTGATAGCATTCAGCTCAGGAAAGCAGGTTGGATCCTCCACATACTGCAGACGACAGAGACGCATAACAAAACATGCACAAACACACGTTGGTTAAAGGCCACTGAATATAAACTGCTCAGTAGCAGCAGTACAAGGTCCACCGACTACGCCCTGCAATACTGTGCCAAACACTGACCTGCTGCAGGGTTGCGGCGCACAACTCGATGGCGATGTAGGTAAAGAGACGGTCTCTCTCTGTGCAGAAGTATCGGATGACATTTGGGTGAGTGTCAGACTCTCGCAGGAGCTGCACCTCTCGCTCTGCTACCTCAACACACTCGGGCAGGATTCGCTTCACCGCTACATGGCGTCCATCAAATTTACCCCTAATATCACACAGGGGATTCATAACGTACTCTTTTTCACATGTGGCTCAGAACGATATATTTAGTGTGAAAATTTCTGCAGGACTATACAAGTTAGTCTTTACAAAATTATGCCATTTCAAACTGTTTCTCTGACTCTGATTCAATATCTATGATTTCAGCCGCCTTCTTAATACAGCAAATAACAAAATAAAGGCAACTAACTGTTCAGTGTGATGGATTATTTCCACAAACTGTTTCAACTGCGTCAACCACTTCACTCCACCATGCAAAGAAGAAGTCAAAATATTGTGAATACAGGGGCTGTCACTTTGCTTTTTGCCACCAGATTCTGCACAGTAGCAACCAGAAGTGGAGTGACAGCATCAGACCGCCAACCAAATCTGTTAAATCAGCAGCTCTTTTTATATCATCAAATCTTCTTCTTCTTCTCCTTTCGGCTGTTCCCGTTAGGGGTCGCCACAGCAAATCATCTGTTTCCATCTAACTCTATCCTCGGCATCCTCTACTCTCACCCCAATTAACTTCATGTCCTCTTTTAGCACATCCATATATCTCCTCTTTGGCCTTCCTCTTGACCTCTTGCCTGGCAGCTCCATCTCCAACATCCTTCTACCAATATAACCACTATC